CATCCTCTCGTGTCGAAGGTTCGCTGATTTCTTGTCTCTACGGGAACGTACACATCCCGCGGGTGACAGATGGCAGCAAATATCTGCCAAGATTGCCGCATGCGAATGGGCATTCGCAAATATTTAACCATGGCTTGTGCTCATTACTCAGATGTAGTTTACTTTGTATTTGCAATAGGAGTAGCATGCTTCTTTGCTTTCTCAGCAAATTTGCTGAGTAAGCTGGTTCAAGCGAGTCTTTGCTCCACTTGGGAAGTGTTAACAAGTGAAATTGATAAGAGCAATAAGGCTGAGGTGGTGCTCAGTTGAGGGCTGAAAGTCGCGCAATTTAGTCCCTTCAACGTTCTAGAAATACGCAGGGAAAATGTGCTCTGTTTGCTGCCGTTGCCATGTGCAAAACAATGCACTTATTTTCCACTGATGAAAATGTACCCGGTACTGCGCATATTTGCTGCAATCTAGCGGCGTTGTAGATGGGCAGAAGCAGTGCGGGATGTGCAAGCACTGACAGCGGTATATATGCGGAAGTGCAAGGTGCTTGTCGTGGCCGGAATTGAAACACTCTGTCAAGAACGTCGCACAGCTAAGTACTCTCAAACCTAAGTTATGGGCCGACGTATGCTCAAAGAAGTTGCTGCGAATGCTGCAGAAGTTTTGCATTCCCAGCGGGCAATACATCTATGCCTTCCCAGAATATTTGGGAATTATAATAGAGCGCACGCAGTTGTGCCCAATTGTGTAAATATGCAGTTTCTAGCTTGCAGTTGTGTCTTAACGTAACTTCCATTGATGTAAAATAATGGCAATATTACCGTTACTTTGCAACTACATGCTGGAGATGGAATATGGAAATTTGCGAGCTTATTTGACAGTGAAAATCCCAGTCACCAATTCTGGCGGCAGGAGACTTTATCTAGTGTGAATGCCGTCCTATATAGAACGCATTACTGGACCGGCGATATACCAATGAAACATGCAATCGGAAGATAGAAAAATTGATTGAGTGTATATACGGATGGGGTATCTCATATCCTTCCTAACGTTTCAAGGATGTGCACTCAATTGAAAATCTGTAAAATGATGGACAAGATGTCGGAAACTGTCTGTGGCTATTTCCATTAGAGAGTAAAGGAAACATGTGCGGTGACAGCCACTGGCACCTCCAAGGATTGCTTGCCGGAACAGAGTGAATTTTGATCTTGCAATACTAAATTGCACGAAAATTTGGCTGCCCCACGATTATTGACTTATCAGTGATTGAAACACATGCTGAGGTATGCACTTAGGAGGGAGCTTTTCTCCGCTTCACCCCGCAGTGTACCTTTCGTAATGACTTCTCATCCTAGCTGATCTCTGATTCGCAGCATTCAGCTGCTCTTTCAATTTCGCTGTCTGATTTTCCAGACGCTCCATGTTTGCTGTGCACTCGTCCCTCATTTCCAGCACCGCCCGAGTCTCTAACTAATGCACAAATTTGCTTCAACCCCAAACACCTGCATGCAATATCCAACGCCTATTCCTTGCATACTGGAAGTTAAGTGTTGTGGCATGACCGCCAAATGGCCCTGAGAGACGCCTATAGATCCAATGCCTTATTCGTTTCTCACTCACGTTTTCCTTCGGCGGATAGGTTAGCCAATCTTATGAGGAAGAATAAATTGAAAACGGTGTAATAAGTTATCTTGTTATGACTACAAACTCCTATGACAGGCAATGAAATAGATATGACAGAAGAATCCGATGGAGAACGACAAGCGCACAATGCCGAAATTGCGGTGTTCTGTCCCTTTGCTGCTGCAGAACGACACATATGCGTATATACGATATAATGCCACACAACCACGTCATTAAAAACATTCTCTACACAAATGACGACGCATTGATGCAGTGTACCCATTTTTTTTCCTTCACCAGTCAAAAATATTTCGCTGTTTCTGTCGTTTGCAATCCAGGACCACCAACTGCCCTCCGCATTTTCTTACTTCCCTGTTAGCGACCTTCGCGCGCTCCAACTCCTTCGTCTCTGCCTTCAATTCTTTCACTTCCCGCTTCAACCGTTGGTAATCCTCCATTCCCAGGCCCGACTCTGGATAGGAAGAGTAGATAATCATTGCGGAACCAATTACAACAGAATAATGCCTTCCTCTGAACCAACGCTCGGCAATTGAAAAGATGCATGCTGCGCTCACTTTGTTTCGGTGTGCTGACGTCATTTCTGCACATTCTATGGCAGCTGCTTTGCAACTTTGCCAATGTCGCGGTGTGCTGACGCCACCAGAAATGTCGCATTCGAATACTACAACTAGTAAACGGCAAAGATGAACATCCAATATACACAAAGCCGACATGCTACCGCGCATCCAAGCTGCGTGGCAGCCACAAAATCACCCACTTGCCTGCCTTCCATAAACTTGCAATCGACAATTCCAAGAGTCCAGTTTGCAAACTCGAACTCACCATGTCTCGTTGCCGCGGAGCATTCCTTCTCCCTGCCACCCCGCGGACCGGCTTTACAGCCACACCGCTTGCGCCCTCGCACCCGGGCGGGCATCGCCCCTCCTGTTCACAACTGAGGTTCCCTGCCAGGGATCGACTGCAGGCCGGGCGCCAGATGGCTGAGGGGGCCGTGTGGTATGCGGCAGCGTCGCTATAGCAGCGGTGGAGTATGGCACAGCTGCTGGAGGGGTAGCACAAAGGAGAGTGGTGGCAGAGGCAGAGGAGCTCGATGGAGGGTATAACCTGCTGCCTACTGTCGCGTTGGGAAATGTGGCGTCGATTCCTTGCGTGGATATGGCAGATAGCTTGGTTGGCTGATTGATTGAGGAGTGGAGAGAATGCACCCTGCGTGGGAAATGACCCAGATGGCAGGGAATAGTGAGCCATCCGTGCGGATGCAGAACTCGATCATTATGCAAAATTTCACGATGATCATGCTGAAGAATTGATCATTATGTCTTACCTTCCAGATGCAGATGAGCACTTGTACATTGAATTGCAATGCAACCGTGTGGAATTGCGGGGTGTTGCATTTTGTAATCAAAGTCACAGATCAATTACCAACGTGGGCTGCCATGTTGCAGGAATACATGTGCCTGCAAGGGGCCGTTATCTCGTCCTTGTCAGACAGGCGCGACATGCAAAGTTTTCACTGTCATGCCACAAGTCCATTCAAAGACCAATCATCCAAGTTTGCATGGCATTCTTATTTGAAAATGGGCCATTTGTTGCCGCGAGGCGTGGTTGTGGACCCATCCTGTGCATCGTGCGGATGCCCCATGGAGCGCTCAACGGCATCGCTCCCTCAGGCCTGGCAGCCGCTATGCAAAGCAGGATGCGTTACCCGAGGGTGTGTGAGATTCCGTGCTATTGTACGGCAGGAGCAGTACGTCAGATGTACATACAGCGCCACTGAAGCGCCAAGGGACAGGCGCCACAAATGCCCCGTTGTCAGCGCCACAAGCATGAGCGATGGTCTGGGATCGATTTCGCACGATTCGGCCATTACCTATGCCGCTAGCCGCGACTCCCATGGCTGCTGCGGAGGTGGATGTGCTGGAATTCGCACTGCAACGTCTTGTCCACATTGGATGGATGCTACACCGCGGAAAACTGCTATTCAGTGGCGTGATGCACATTGCCGAAAGAACAAACACAAGCGGATGCAACTCTGGTTGTCTCCGGGTGCAGAGACGAAAGTTGTAGTTGTGTTGCCGCCGTAGTTGTGTTGCTTTGGCGTCAAGGTTGCCGGTCATGAGGGCTCCAGTTGCGATGTTCAATGGCATTCGCCATTCTGGTAGCTGAATTCCATCAACACCGACCTGCGACATACAATACCACACAGTGACTGTGTGGAATAGCAACACGTAGCGACTGTGTCGAAGGAACTTGACAAGGTTGTTTGCCAGCGCAATTTCGTTGTTTCTTCCCTTTTTCCCGTATTTACTCTGTTGCCAAGGCACAGGAATTTTGGCGTCCGCATCTTGCTACTGACACGTATTATCCCCATGATTCCTGTTCCCATCCGACTGATACAGTACCATATCGCAGCCTTTATTGTGTGGCCAACCATGCTGCGTGCACTGCACTTCTGTACTTGTCTGTCTTGTACCATGACAAGATCGAGCAGCACAAAGGTGCTGACCCTTCAAAGCTCTGCCTTCCATGCTGCCGTTTCTTGCATCGTCTTGTCACTACCGCCACGCGAATGGACTGCTCACAGGCATGCTGTGCATTCGTCAAGCCCAGTTCCATCGCCACTGACAGAGGTCATGCTGATTTCGCCATCAGTGGGTTTGTGCTGCCGCTTGTTTTTGGAAGGTCGTGTGCCACTCCTGGACTGGCACCATCACCAATGCAGAGCCAGCACAGGCTGCAGCGTTTTTATTGGTTGTCATGGAAGCGTAATAGTGGTTCTTCACATATTCCCTGCAAGCATTTACCACACCCAGGATGCTGTGCATGAAGGGGTGGGGCTGTTGGGGCATGAATTGGAGCACATCATGACCACGCCCGCTTGCTTGTGGCTATTGCACCAAACTTCATCGTCGCCCAGGATGTTTTCAGATTCCTTTCAGTCCAAGCACAAGCACATCAAATGAGAGACTGCTTCCTGCACTGTTCAGCAAGACCACACATCTTGCCTTGAAGGCTGATGCTGCCCTTATCCAATGCAGGTCACAATAGAATTTCGAAGTTACAGCAAACAGCCACGTGTCTGCTCAGTGTCCACCACCTGTGTGCATGCACACCTCAGCCACAGTTGTTCAGCACTGCATGCTCCTATTCCAGCCCCACCTAACACTTACCTACTCTTGAACTGTGCACCCTCCTGCCTCTACCTATCCCAAGTGCCTCTCATCCTCAAGTCCCGCCTACACAAACTCGCACCAACACTATGTGGATGGAATATATCCTGCAATCGATTTCATGTGGAAGTGTGATAGTCGCCATACTGCGGCAATTGCGATTGTATCTCACTTGTGCTCTTTGTTCCACACCCGCTACGAGCCAGACAGCACAGAATTAATATCGCCCAGTATGTTTATCGTCCTCCCCTGAAACTGGGCCGAAATCATCTTCTCCACCTCCACCTTTACCCGCCACGTCCTCTTGATCAGGCCCGCCAGCTTCACCGAGCTGGCAGCCAGCTGCTGGCTCAGGTCCTTCCTCCGCCTCTCCGCCGCAGCGGCCGACCTCTTCCACTTCCCCTCCTGGCTCCTCTTCTGCTCCAAGTCCTTGACCAACCTATCGAGGAACCTCTGTGACGTCTTGATCAGCAGCAGCTGCTTGGGCCTCTGCCCTGTGAATGCGGCCAGAGCGGCATCCACAGCCTCAAGCATGCCGCCCAGGGTGTCTGCCTCCACCCCGCCCACTGCCTCTGACAGCACCCCTATGGCCACGAGCCCCGTGGCCTCCGACAGGCCCTCCTGCCGCTGCGCGAGGAACGCCTGCAGCTCGTGCAGGTCGTCCAGCACCTGGCCCCTGAACTTGGGATCAAAAACAATCCGCCGGACGGCACCCGAAGCTGTGCACTCCGTCCCATCAAGTCCAGGGGCTGCCCCGTCGGCCGGCTGCTCCCCCGCAGGCTGCTGCCCCGCTTCCTTCACTTCAGGCAAGTCCCACTGCACCTCCAGGCCCACGCTGCTGTCCGCTGTACCCGCCTCCTCCTGCTTGATGTCCTCGATGCTGACGTCCCAGTCGATGTCCACCGGACCGGGCGCCTCCGAATCCGCGGCCTCCAGGCTCGGCTGCGCCTCGTCCTCCAGCTGAATGTCCCAGTCGATCCCACCCAACGCCCCCGCCCCCCCTGCCACCGCATCCCCTCCAAGATCGGTACACATTTCCCGATGCTCTTCGGCCCCCACCGACTCCATCGCATCAGATGGGCCCCGCTTGGCGGCCTCCTCGGGCAATGCCTCCACGGTGCCGTCCCTGACCTGCTTCAGGGTTGGCAGCAAATTGTCCTCCGTGTGTTCCCCCGGCCCCTCCCCTGCCGAATGGGCGCAACAAACGAACTCCGCGTAGAACCGCACCCCCTCTTCCAGCCGCGGATCTCGACAGGCCTCGATCGCCGCCTCCATGGCCCCGTAAACGCCCTCCCCCATCGCCCTCACCTCCTCCCCGATCTTCACCCCAGCGATCCCCAGCGCCTCGTGCGCCCGCCGGAAGCCCGCCGCCGCGTTTGCCGCGCTCTTCAGCGACTCCGCCCGCCTCTTCTCCAGATCCGACACCTGCTTGTTGAGGCCCTCCGCGGCCTTCTTCAAAAAGGGTATCTCATAATCCACATTCTGCGCCAGCGTGAGCCCGGCCTCCCCCAAATGGGTGAGGGATTTCTCGTACGCCTTGACCAGCCTGTCCCACACCGCCGCCGCGCCCACCAGCCCGCCGAACAGCCCCCGCTCGCTGCCCTCCGCCAATCGATCCCGCACCTCGATCGCGCGAAAGTAATCCAAAGGCGCGTCCTCGCCGCCCTCCAGCTGACCAAGGAAGCCCGGCGGCAGGTCGCGGGACGCCTCCGTGAGCTTGGCCTGGATGGCCGCGTGGCGCTTGCGCCAGTCTGGGGGCAGCTTGCCGCGCTCCGCGAGCCACTGGTGGACGCGGGCGTAGGGGACGTCCAGCGGGAACAGCCTGTCCTTCGAGGCCATCGCGGTGCCCGCCCCCTATTCGCCTCCGCTGGACGCTGGACGCGTGCCCGCTGCTGACGAGCCGTACAGAGAACCGCTGTATGTGTGCACCATGTAGAAGCGCTAAACCCTTGCGCCTAAGCGCCCAACCCTAACGTCCAACCGCCTAAACCTACCCAGTCTCCGTCTTGGTGCTTCGTCCGATGGAAATAAACGTGCAGGAAGACATCCCTGTCGGACATGCTCCACGCCCTGTATGCACATCGAGATTTGACGGAGCCTTCAAATTTGAGGCTGAAACATCCTCGAAAACGCTGCGAATAATTGACGCCCTTTTGTGATGAGAGCATCGTTGCAAGATACGTCCGTGCATGCAAGGTGTTGGCAGGGCGGGCACTCAGCTAATTTAACAAATAACAAAAAACGAAGGAATAGATCATAATAAACAGAAAATCTGTAAATTTACAACTTCGGAGATGTATGACGGCATTGGCCGTGCACCAAGCAGCTTCAAGGGGATGGGTCCCAATTTGCTATGTGGTACCCGGCCACCTTGCCATTTGGATCTGCTGAGGTAGAAATTGTTTTAAGTTGCCCAAAGCATCCGTGCATTTTGAAATTCGTTACAAAAAGACCCTCATCTCGAAATCCGGAAGCATCTGATGCAGGGCTTATGGCTCCTACTGAAGTGAACTCTTTTGCGCATTGATATGACATGAAGCGCTGTGGACACACACTGCCTCTCGCCCTCCCTCATGCCCCTGAAATGGACCCTCGTGCATGGCGTAGGCAATGTGTGCCAGTGGATTGCTTTGCTCCTGGGGAAACTATATGCTATGTAGACTGCAGGTTGTTCTCCCTGACCGCCACGTAGATGCACAAAGCAACGAACAAAGCATCACTGCTTCAATGAAAATGCGAGCCGAAACTGTCACGGAAAGATTGCGAATTGCAGAAGGGGAGAATATCCCACAAGTTCTCACAAAATGCGACTTCCCGTGACGGCGGTCACCTTTTGTACATTTACCCGCGGTCTCAGCACTACCGAGACAGCGGGTCAACGTACTGTTAAAGCAGCTTCCATGTGCAGCTGCCCAGTAGGGCTGGTGAACTGCTGCTGCTGCCTCACTAATGTGAGGTCCAAGCCTCCCACTTCTTGGCGCAGGTGCTACGGAAGCGAGGCACCTCAATTCAGTGTTTGTGAGCAAACAGGCTGAATATTGAAGCCAAAATATCTCCACCGACCAGCTCAGCGTCTGTCAGCCTAGGTTTCACGTCGATCATTATTCATCACAGCCAACTGACAGGCGATCAGGCAACGACTCACTTCGCCAACAGCACAGGTCACAGATTCATGTCGATCGTCACTCATCACCTCGATTGAGGGACAACTATGCTATTCCACAACAGATACAAGTTTTCTTAGGCAGCAACGTGAACGACAGCGCTCCTTTCCAGGCTGGCTCTTTCTGCAATCGGCGATGTGCAACTAGATTTAGAGATTACTTTCTAGTGTTTCAGCATGGGCGATCCTAAAGGGCTTGGAAAGGAGACCTTGTAACGATTTATGGCGCCTGAATCCTGCCGACGTCATGCCTGTGATGACGATGGCTCAAATTGCCCATGATTGGCACAGTGGGTCACCGAACCGGCGTTCCTTTGCAGCTGATCAGCTGAGACACATACTTGTATGCTTCGAGGGCGTCGGCGTTTGTTTTCTCATGATCGCTATTCATCAACTCCTCATGCAACTCACCGAATCACTATGCGAATGCAGTCTGACGTCACGATCAGTGCACATGTCGCAAATCGACGCGCCACATGTTGTACGACAATACGGCAGTGCCCACGCTCTCGGACTCGGTCCCTGACACGTTTCCAAAGTTGATCGCTTGCAGCGGCTATACTTGGACGGCACTTAGACGCTCACACACGAGGCAGTGCTTCAAGATTTTTAAGGGAAACTAGGTGTATGTTACATTTTTGTCCAAAACAACAGCACGGTGTTTAGCTCCCACAGTGGGTGGCTGTTGCAAACGCCCTGCATGCCCCCTATTTATGAACCCGGCTGGCTGCCCCCTTTGTCCGAGGATCCTTGGAATATTCTCCAAAGTTTCGGATCACTATTGGCCAACTTTGTAGATCACCCCCGGCTGTCCCATCAGCTTCCCCGATCACTGTTGTGATCCGCTACATGTCGCCGTCCCCCACGTCCAATTGTTCCCACTGATCCTAGGATCAGTGCCATTCACTCACAAGTCACTGTCAAGTGCTGCCCCCGCGGCTTCCCCATCAAATACACTATCCTTTTGCAACCATTGGATCAACACCAGCTCAGTGGATTCACATGTTGCTGTCTCATCAAACAATCATTTCAGCATCAATTTCATCACGATCGCCAGGATGTGCCTTCGCCTGATCCTCTAAGCCTCCGCCATGGGCTCCAGCGCCTCAATTGCGTCCCCCATTGCCGGGCAGATCTTCACATGCAGGCCACCCCTAGCAGTCCCGCACATCATTATTAGAGCGTCCCCTGGGCACATCGCAGCACCTCGTGGGCATGCAAATTCCATGCACAGCAAGGCAGCCCGCTGCCATGCAAGCAGCGCAACGTAGCCCACGCAATTCCGCCATCATCATCATCATCATCATCGAGTTTTGGCAGCCACGCTCTCGCACCCATGTTCGAGCGCGTCGCCGCAATTGCCACCGCCGTGTGTGCGCCTCTGAGGGCCGCTGCGACTCAGCGTCCAGGGTTGCTGTATGACATCATACGTCATGGCACACAACACATGATGGCCACCACGGATGCCCACCCCAAGGTACGCGACAACATTCGTACACTCACCAGTTCACCTAGTCAGCATTATCGGCTGAACATTGCTGCCTAACTGCATCCCACCATTGGGGCGCTCTTGAAACTGCATGTTCTACTCAGAATTCTGCAATGAATGGGAGCCATTTTCAAAGTAGAATGACTGCCCCTTTGTGCCTATTCTGTTGCCATTGACTAGTTGTAACATGGCCTACATTGCGAGTAATCTATCCAGCACCGATGGCATTAGTTTTGTGATGAATGGGGCCAGCGCTTCCCCACGAATTCTGCCTTTTTCGAAGGTGCCTTTTGCCACGAGCCCATCATTGTGCTGATGTGGCACAATGACTAACAGCGAGTTTAACAGTACCGAAGGAAACCGCCACATCGTTCGGCAGTACTACTGTATGGATTTGAGCCCTTACGCAGGTTAGCATACGGGTTGGCCTTTTTCGCTGAGAAAGTAATAAAATAAATATTGCTCTTCTTATAAAATTGTTGCGGAGCAACGTAAAAAATAAAAATAACACTCCAAAGAACAAAATGCGGAGCATAAAGCGTAACGGTAAATCGTTTTCATGCGGAAGGGTTGATCATTTTACGTTATGCACTTGGCATGCTGTGATTCCGTTGGGTGGCTCCTGTGCGAGGAGTACTGACACCACGTCATCAGTATTCACATGCCACACACCGCCACAAGATGTGTGGTTAATTCCGTATGGTGGCCAACAACGCCCCGCCAGTACACAAACTCCACGTTCGTTCAAACACACGCCCGCACACAAACCGCATCGTCCCTGGCCCATCCCCGCACAAGTCACTTCAGGTCGACGGGACCGCTCGTGCTTGCCTCGCCGCCCGGCAACGCAGCCGCAACGTCAGGCATGGACCCTTCCCAGGGTTCCTTCGAAGGCGAACATGGCCGCGTTGCGCCCCGCGCTGCGAAGCGCCGAGCCCTGACGCCCACCCGCCAGCGCCGGCCCCCTCCGCGCGGCGCCGACGCGCGAACGGCCATCTGCAGCGATGGGCCAGGATGGCGTGGAAAGGGATGACGAGGAGGAATGTCCGGATCCCGAGGCGGCCGGGCAGGCGACCTGCATGCAGGGCCGCGGCCTGTATGACACGCGCACGGACGTCGTGTCCGTGATGGAGGTGATCCCCGATGGCAGCATGAAGCTCCTCTTCCGCGTGATCGACGCCGCGGTGGTGTTGGGCACGGGCCTCCTATTCGTGCTGTTCGGCATGAAGCTGTCCACGCGGTTTGACAGCCTGCGGCAGTCTCGGCCGGTGGTGATCCTCAACGCGGCGGTGGCGGCGATCGACGTGGCCGTCCTGGCGGGATGCCTGGCCGTCTTCGGCGGCCGCCTGTGGATCGTTGGTCGCGCGGGACTGTGTTGGTCGTCCAGGAGGCTGCGGTGGACGATCATCTTCTCAATCCAGCTGGTGGCCGTCTTTTTTGGCAACGTCTTCTTCCTGGTGCCCAATCTTTATGTGGTGACGAGGGAATGCGACTTCTTCAACGGGGTCGTCAACATCTCGGGGCTGGCGCGCTGGACGGCGCTGAACACGGTGCTGGCGCTCTGGGTGGTGCAGGCCAGGTCGTTTAACCTGTGGGTGGACAGGCTGGGCCACCCGCTTGGGAAGCGCGAGGACGACACCTACATAGACGCGCCCTGGCGGGCCAACTGGTTCGTGGCCGTCTACTGGGTGGTCTTCGAGGCCTTCAATGTCCTCAACATCCACACCTACAGGCAGGAGATTCAGGGCAAGAATTGCAAAGCGGACTGGCCTAAGTGCCCGCCTCCCACGATGGTCATCGTGTTCGCGTCCACCTTGGTCGCCCTGGCGGTCGGCTACCTGCTGATGTTCGTGTACTGCTCCCGGAGGGCGTTCGTCCTCCTGGCCAAGAAGAGCTACGTGCAGTTCCGCTGGGTCAACATCTCCCTGCGCTACACGTTCCGGATGGTGGGCCTGGTGCTGCTGTTCGGCATCCTGTCCTTCGCATTCCTGTGGTTCTCGCGCTTCAGCTCGTGCCTCAGCTTCGTCACGTCCTGGCTTGGCTTCGTGCCGCTCCAAATGACCCTCACATTCTTCATGGTGGTGAACACCATCATCTACCTGCCCCTCATGCCAGGTTGTCGCCTGCCCATAAGGGCACTGCCCTGCTCGGCGTCCTGGCTGGAGAGGATAGTGGACGAGCAAAGGATTAAGACTGCAGAAGACCCCGATTTCTCCCCTTCATTCTGTTTTGAGACAGCGGTCAAGCTGGTGTACTGGTGCGAGTTCATGTACCATTACGACCCAGAAGGCGGTGTCCAGGAGAAGAAGGGCTTCAGTTTGGAGAAGGGACAGGAGCTGTATGGCCTGACTCACATCGATTCTCTTGTGGCCAAAGACACAGACACCCGGGTAGTGATTTCTTGGAACAACGCGGGGACCATATTGGTCTGCTTTCGAGGCACTTCGAGCAAGGCCAACGTGGTGGCGGACCTTAAGTTCTGGCGAACGCCGCACCCTCCAGGGCGTGGACTGACAATGTTGAGCATGATCCCCATGGTCCACAAAGGCTTCTTGGATTCATGGACTGCAAAGGGCTTCAACCATAAGCTGCTAGAAAAGATCAGGTCGATAATGGGCAGCCCAGAGTTTGACTACCCCAAGCTGAGGATCCTTGTGAGCGGGCATTCGCTGGGTGGGGCCATCGCCGTCTTGGCAGCGCATGACATCCGCAGATACTGTGCTGTGAAGCCGCACCAGCTGTCCTGCTACACGTTCGGCTGCCCCCGTGTGGGCAACCACATGTTTGCAGATGAGCACAACAGGGTTGTGCCAGACACCTGGCACGTGATAAACAACCTGGACCCTGTCCCAAGAATGCCTAAATTCTGGGTGCTATTCAAGCGGTCAGGCAGGCGGGTGGTCATCAATGCCCATGGGGACATGATTGTCCAGCCCATATTTTTGGAGTTCAAACTGGTGTCAGCATTCATGGGCAAGACTAAGGTGGTGCACCACTGGCTGTCCAGCTACCGCAGGTCGCTATCGTCTGTGGTTCTGGCACAGTTCCACACATACAAAGCCCTGCCAGGTGGTAGTGAGGCGATGAAGGAGTTGCTGCAGAAGGGCAACATCACACAGGTGCCGTTTTTTCCTCTTTCATGGTGTATTTGACTTTCCATTTGGGGGATCCTTCCCCTCCCCCCTCCCCCCCCCTTTGCCCCCTCTTTCTTTTGTGATAGACAAGCTGTGCATCTGTTGGCTCATGGCCATACAGTGCAGAGATGGATCACTCACGAAATGATTTGGTGCAAGATGAAACAGCGCTGCCTGGATTTTGTGCAATACAGTAACAACTGGGATGAATTTAGCATGAGCAACATACACTGGAACCATTGCCATTGCTGGGTTGCTTCTTGTTCTTTATGTCTAGATTTAATTGAGCATCAGCACTAGAACTGTCCTGAGTCCGTTTCAGGCCAAGGGATCTCTAAGTCGTGTCCTCGGCCTCCAATCGGAGGCTGAATGTGACCAGTCACTGAATGTGACCAGTAATGTCCAACACAGGTGTTGGGAGTGAACACCGGCTCAGCCAACAAGCTGCTGACCCTGGCATCCAAGATTTGGATGCAGCGCTCGCACAACATGGACCTAGACAATGTTGGGCCGGACGGGAAGCCGATCAGGGTGTCCCAGAGGAGCATCTCTGGTTGGCTGCCCTCCTCCCTTCTGCGGATCGGGCGCCGTGGCAGTTCCTCGTCTTCCATCGACCTGAGCACAGAGCTGCGGAGGCCAGGCACGTCACGGAAGCTGACGCTCAGGGAGGAAGGGGTCAGCCGAAGTGGGCTTACGAACTTTGCTGAGGAGCTTGAGGAATGGGAGGTGCAAGAAATGGATGCAGAAATGGAAGATGGGGAACCTAATCAGCCCGATCGTGAGGAAGCTCCATGAATAGGTCAAGATTCATATGTTGTCTTGGGCTCCTTGCTGTGTTGCTAATGCGACCTGACATGGCACCAATAGGGACGGCAGATTTGCAGTCCAGTGCAAACGGCGTGAGCCATTGACTAAAGTCAGTCACATGGCATAAGCCTGGTTAGTACAAAGGGGTGTACTGTATGAGGACGGTGGTGGGTTGTTCATACGAACATGGCTTCACATGATGCCTTGATGCAGTTGCTGTTTCAGTTGTACTGTTTAGAGCGAGCTTGCTATCTTATTTATGCTTTTGCTCGATGAACAGGTGTCTGTGATACCTGTGCAGGCTGTTCAGTGAACAGTGTGCAGCATTGCATGCAGTGGTGTTGGTGTATTGTGTAGCTGTAAGATCCGATTTTGGAGGCCCTGTGAACACATTTGGTGAGTGCAGGACGACTTGCTTATCTTGGACACCAATCTGTGTTTCAAGCCGACATCTGAGGTAATTGAGGGGTTAGATGGGAGGGTGTTATGCCCTTTTTCGGCTTTTGGGCAGAAGAAATGGGAGCCATATCAAACATGGATGACATGTATACTCAGTGAGGCAAGTGGAAAGGAAAGGAATTCTTGCATTTACTTGCACCATCAGAAGCATCACTGGGGTGATGACCCATTTCCTTTGCATGCAGCAGAGCCCACAGTCACAGGGGTAGTCTGCCCCAGTAATCCACATGCAGAACAGCATCATATTTGTGTGCACGTTTTTGTCAAGTACAAAAGGCCAAGATGCTCCAGTGTCTGTGTGAGAGTGCGGCCAAGTGTACAAATGTCTGGAGCTTGGGGGCTGAAGACGTCCATCTTAGGGTTGTGAGATAGCCCCTCATGTTCATGGACTGGAGACAAAGCGAACATTCGTGCACGACAAGGCATAATGTGCATACTGCATTCTTGTGCAACGGGCTGTTGCTTGTGCCTCGCAGTTGCACATCGACCTGTACAATCTTCAGCTTTCTGTGTGCATGAACTTGCAGGTTGCAAAATTAACACAAACACATACAAATTGCTGAACTTTTGTGCTCGTTGTCACACAGCATACAAGGCCAGAACTTGCTAACCAGAAGTGCACACATCTATACATTCATCCACTGTGCACAAGGCAGAACATTCTGTGCCCACACAGCCAATCTCCTTCACAAGCAGTACAGATATCTCAGCATTGAACTAATATGCCCTGGATAGATTGTCCTATACCCACAGATCAAGTCACGCCCACACTGAAGCCCCGGTACAGGACTTGTCTGCTACCAGCACAGCCATTTTCTTCCCGGGGCAGGTGCAAGCTCCCTCCCTTTCCTCGTTTTCATTTCAACATCCAGATGCCCTGAGGTCTATCCCAACCTGTCCAAAGCCTTCGTGCCGCGACCCCGAGCACAGCGCCCCGATGGGCAACAATCGCATGTCCTGGATGACCATATTTCCCTCACCGTCTCGGTGTCCAATTGCTGGCCATCGCCATTGCGGCCATCTTGCGCTACAATGGCACACGCAAGCCACGCAAACTCAACGGTTCCGTCCGGCCCGAGGGCCCCAGGGGTCACCGCGCCTCAAACTGCACCACCCGCTTGGTCCGCTTCTTGTACAGGATCCTGTAGCCGCAGTCGCGGCACGCAATCGCGTCGCCGGCCTTCAGCTCGTTCTCCGATCGGCACTGCCCGCAGACGTACGTCACGCTGGCGTAGCCCACGGCTGGCTGCCCGTAACCGCTCATCCCGTAGCCGTAGATGGGCAGCGGGGAAGGGTGCCCAGCGCTTCAGAGGGCGCGAAAGGTGGTAGGCAGGTGGATGCCTTCAAGCAGCAGGTCACCCACCAGCTCTGACCAGGCTTCCCGGCGGCTTTGAGGTGGAGTTGTGGGGCGATTAGGTAGGAAGAGTGTGGAAGCTTGTGGGGTAAAGTGCAGGGAGTGTTGTACCTGACGGCAGAAACGGAAATTTAGACTGCGGTGAATGCAGATTGTGGCGTCCATTAGTTGCTCGCTAGCTGACAGAATGTACATAATGTTAGTGCCGCGGTGTTCGGAAAGCTGTGCCGTAGCTGTGGAAGCCGTGAAAGCTGTGTCGAAGGCGCGGCAACCACAGGCGACAGAAGCCAGAGACCGCCAGCAGCTGGAGACGTCGGCACAGCGGGAAGGCGCGAAGCGTTTGGAGCACGGCTCGAGGGGTGTCGTCCGGGGGCGCCCCCTGTGAGGCGCTGATCGTGGATCGCTGGCGGATCGCCGCGCAAGATGCCGGTCTCGGAAGAAGGTGCACTTGCTGATCTTTGCCGCCCGCACGCTGGTCATGGGTCACCGCCAAAGGCCAGTTGCTGTTGTCCAGTGTGCTTCACTGGCTGGTTTTTGCTGCGCAGTGTGTAGTGGGGTGCTCCTCGGTGCAGTGCGGAGAGCAAGGATTGCAGGTGAACTCTCGTTATCCTCAATCATCATGGCAAATGCGTGTTGCGAAGCTTACCTTCGCGATTGTGTGTCTCTTGCGCTGCAGGTATCGCAGCAGTGGGGCGTGGAATGATGTGAAAATGGATAGGCAGTTTGAAAATTTGTTTGCAATCAGCGCAGATCGTTCTGCAAGCTCAATGACCACGGTGTCGAGGGCGTAATGTAGCCGGCCGAGGCGAAGCCTGGGACTTAGATATCATGTTGCCGAGGCAACTGTCAAGGAGAAATTGTTGCAAGCGGCACAATGAATGTGGTTGGTATATCAGCCATTTCAGCTTCGTTGTCATCAGCCTGTCGGTGTTGCTGGCAATCGCATTGCAAAGCCAGCTGGCTTCTCCTGAATTTAGCCAGAACGAGACTCCAAGGTTGCGGAGCGAGCTAGAAATCCCAAAATGGCCTTTCAAAGTTTTGGTGCAAGATTTCAGTTCAAGTGTCCCATATGGAATTGACTGTCCATGCTTGTGACCCATGCAGTCGATTGTGCCCTCCAATCCAGCCCATCGATGCTGGGCCAACTTTCTATGGCCGTACTATCTACCGGCACCTCCTGAATTTGGAGTGTAAGAGCTCAACTGATGCTTGCCATTGAACAACTTGGATGATGCTTTTGGCGAATCGCCTGTTGACCAAAGATGTGAAATGCATATTGTCCGTTGTCAGCAGCGATGGAACTCTGAATAGCAGACATTAGGTTTAGATCGATTTCTAGGAGGCAATTGTTGTACGCTGTCTTCTTGATAATGTCACCTACATGCTGTCCGTAAATCGAACGTATATATGTTGCGATGGGAGGAAAGCAGCGATATGCCTACAATCCGAACATTTACCCATCTGCTTTGCACAACAAGTAAGAAATCCTCAAATGCCAGATGATAAGCACAGGCTAAGCGTGGAGATGCAGTGTTCCACATTGTTAAGCTAGAATGCATCCTGTATTTTCGTCCCAAATCCACTTTGCGTCATTCATGTTCACATAGCACACGTTGTTTCAATCTTCGTATACCATAACTTAACTGGAATTAGGTGGAATACAAACAAGAATTGTGATTGAAGATCAACATGTGCGACAACATCAAATAATGTACTGCGGACAGACTAGAGACGGCGAGGGAGATTGTTTGCTGAAGGCGTTGTGGTCAAACGATGTCATACTTTCAAACCACACCACTGCGAAGTTTTTTTGTTCTCTTCTTTGAAAATTGCAAGCAAGCCAGGAAAAATCTTACGAGCGGAATCCTCCTCAGCGTGGGACCCAGACACAATAAAAGGAATTAAAAAAACGCCTTTGGACGTAGCTACTTTAAGGGTCCGTTGCACCTGTAGCAAGGCTTGAGGCAAGCTGCTCTTGTTTGTAGTTTTCCTGTACGCTCCAGAATGCACTATTTGCAATTGGTAGCAGCAATTCATTTATTGCGAAGGTGCATATGCATGGCGCAAGAACCATCTGAGTGCTGCCAATGAAGTTAATAATGGTCATGTGCATTCTGAAGCAGTGGTGATATGTCCAACGCAATGAAGGGAATTTCGAACTACACCCATGAGCTGATGTACAAGTTTGCACTCACTGTGGCAATGAGAGATCGATATGGTAGAGTTGACCTAGTGGCCTGTCCCAGTCCATTGCTCATACTGCCTCATGTTTTGTTACAAACAACATAGTCTCAACCTATCCAGAAAATTAGCCTACCCCCTATGCCATATTGCGGCCCCACAACAGCTCTTCCCCCTAATCCTGCATTGTCTTTCTTTTGGTCTTGTCGAGTGTTCCAAAATAGGAGGCTGTGAAGATATCCAACAAGGTGTCAATTAAAGTTGTTTTCACCAAAGCTACCCAAATTTATTATCAATCTTGCGCCCTTGTGGAGGTTTGACAATGTTCGAAGCTTTTGAACAGCAATGCCATGTTCAACCGTTCAAATGTGTCTCAGACGAGGACTTAGCAAGCAATAGACAGAAGATCTGTGCTATGACATCTTTTAGTCATATAAAACAGACGATCAATTTCCTCCACACATGTGGTGGAAGGTCGGAGCTTGTGACAATTTTATGTGACTTCATGCATGATTATATGAGGTTGTGGTTCTCTTCTTCCTTTAATTTTGGTTTGTCGTTTTCATGGGATATTCAATGTTTCGTTTTGAATGCACTTGCACAAATTTTTGGGATGAGTGTTTTCTGAAATCTGCCTAGCATGCTAGCCTCGCCTTGGTTTTTTATGCAAGTAAAGTCGGTGTGGTATGGCAAACATTGCAACCATGAGGTTTGTGATATGTATTGATTTGGGCATTGTTAGATGGCATCACAAGATGCAAGCTCAAGATGAATGCACTTGCTTGTCATGACGATGGTGTTCATGTATTCCTATTTTTGCTTTAGCCACTTCGCTCCTTCCTTATTGTAAATGTCATCATTGGCTACATTTTGTCCCATTTACATCTCTTAGCTGCCGGTTGGACTGGCTTTGGTTTTGGAGTTC